AAGGCCCTGGAAAGTTACAAGGGGAGGTTGTTGGAGCTGACTGCTGCCAAAAGAGGACCATCAGCAGAGCCCGAGAGAAGAGCAGCTTTTTTTGTTGTCTTAGACAGATCAAAGAGCTTGAGACCAGAGAGCTGCATGCAGTTCTCAGCTGCAAACAAGTCACTGAAGTTTTGAGTAGCAGCCGTGCAATGTCCGTGTCACTTCTGTGCTCAGGGTGCCAGCGGGGGTTTTGTACTCCTTGTTCTCTTGGAAGAACTCATTTCCTCTGTATTGAGGGAAAGTATTATTTACTATCCTGAAAAGCCAGCTTTTGCCCCAGCAACCAGCCTGCTGGGATGTGCAGGATCCTGCCTGGAGCTCCTTGGTGTGGACCAGGAGGTGTTTTTCTGCCTTGTGCACAGCCAGTTCCCTCTGCACTGCAAGAAACAGGAGTGCTCATCTATACTTGAGTCTCCCAGGGCTTCTTTCCATCCGAAGAGGAATGAACAGCTGTATCAGATGTCGGTGGCTGTGATTTAGAGGCTTATTATTTTGCAGCTCAACACAGGATGCAATTAATACCTTCACACAGGAACTTCAGCTGAGACAGGCAGCAGCTCCGGGTATTTTGCTGCTTCCACAGTTACTTACTCCTCTTCATCTTTCAGCAGTCCAGGCTTGCCCAGGCACCCAAGAGCTAATTAGAGACGTGATCCTTCTGCCTGTGTAGTCAGCTTCTTCATAGAATCATTAAGGCTGGGAAAGACCTCTGAGATCCCCAGCCCACCCCACCATCCCACTGCCCACATCCCTCAGTGCCACATCCCCACGGCTCTGGAACAGCTCCAGGGACGGTGACCCATCACTGCTGGGCAGCTGTGCCACTGCAGCACTGCTCTTTCTGAGAAGAGATTCTTCCTAATATCCAACCCAAACCTTCCCCAGAGCAACTTAAGGCCAGCATCTCTCATCCTAAAGTTGTTATGTTGGAGATGAGAGCAGTGTGTCTCCTCTGACTGAGCCTCTGTCCCTTGTTCACAAAGCATATACCCTTGCCACCTGGACTCCTCAGTGGTTGGATGGGCTGCTATTTTTCTACACGTTGGAAGCAGCGTGGCAGACAGGCATGTAATTGGAAAGCAGACGGGATTTACGGTCGGATCAGAGCAGGCCCAGTGATCCATTCCTATACCTTGATTGTCAGTCTTGGGTTGCCTGCCCCTCAGCCTGCAGGAGTGTCACTGTGGCTCTCCACATGTGTGCAGGAAGATTCCTTACTGGGCTTTTATTTAGGCTTGTGAAGGTCATAGAGCATTTAACCTCAGTTTGTCAGAATCAAAAACAATGACATCTGAGCAACTTGATCCCATGGGCTTCAGTTTCCTACACGGGAGATGCGCTGGCAAAAGTTCAGCTGATAAAGGAAGCTCCAAGCAACTGCATTGACTTCTCATGGAGCAAAAAGAGAATTGCTCCCCAAAGAGTTGCACAGTGGGTAGCAGTGTGCTGCATCTGCTTGGTCCCCATGGCATTTTTTAATTCCTTTGCTCTGCTTTGCTGAAATCTTTGACTGCTGGCAATCAAGACTCTTGACTTGGACACAGCTCTGTCAAACTGGCAAAGGCTGTCTGTCGGGTGTCTTTACTTTTGCACCTCTGAAAATGCAACAGTGCATATTGGCTCTCTCAGTCCGAGGATTGTGGGCTGCTTAGTGTGCCTGATTATGACTTGCTATAAAGTCTTTGAAATTTGACTGCATTAAGGGCTCCAGGCATTGTAAAGTATGCTTTATTTGTATTTTATGCACGAGTGTTAGTGGCACATCTGCATGCTTCATAGCATTTTAATCCTACACCAAACTTTTGCACTGAAATAATTGATCTGCTTACTATGCTCAGGATTTATTTCTCCCAAAACCACAACAGGGAGAAAGGGCTTTCCTAGGAAGCAAGACAGAAATATTGGAAGATTTTCGGTACCTCTCTTTCAAAGGTTCCTGCATCCTCAGACTGATGCAGTCGAAGGGCCAGCTGGGTGCAGGGATTTGATGTGGCTGTTGCTGAAGGATTAGGAAATGTTCCTATTGCTGCAGTGGTTCAGTCTGTTCCATAGGCTGGCTGCTTTTCACTGGTCCCTCCTGGAGGAGTTGAGCAGAGCAGGCAGTGGACATCAGAGCAGCAAACAAGGTTTGTGGGAGCAGCTGCAGGAAAATATTGACTCAGTACTGCCTTTTGTGGGGGTATTTGAGCTTGTTTAGTCTGTGAGAAACTTTCAGGAGATGATGATAACACGTTGGGCAAGCATTCAAGGAAACTCAAGCTTTTTTGTGGGTTAAGCCCTACCCAAAGCGCTGGGGAGCAGCTGCCAAAGAATGGCGCTGGAGAAATGGCTCATTGTCAGTGATGAAGGTGGAAATTGGGAGGGAAGAAGCAGGAGAGGAGGTGGGAACAAAGGAAGGGTTTGGTTCATGCTTGCATTCCACTAGTTGTGTGGATGCCCCATCCCTGCAGGCATTCAAGGCCAGGCTGGATGTGGCTCTGGGCAGCCTGGGCTGCTGGTTGGCGACCTGCACACAGCAGGGGGTTGGAACTGGATGAGCACTGTGGGCCTTTGCAACCCAGGCCATTCTATCATTCTGTGATTCATTCTATAACCCAGTGATTTACAAACCCTGTGTGTCAGATATCTAATCAAATTAAATACTCGTACTCTGGTTGGCAAATATAGAGCTATTTGGAAGCCCACAGCCAGTTTCCTAGACCATGTTTTTGTCTAACTCCTTAATAACAACAAGTTTCTAAGGATTTGGACATTTGTAAAGAAGACTGGACATAATGTCCAACCTGGGCTGTCTTAGTCCCCAAAGCAGCAAAAGAACATAATCCTATAATGAAACATGACAATGCCAGAAGGTTACTTGCCCACTCTGTGCCTATGGGCTGTGGGCAGACTGATGCAGTATTGTTCCTGAAAGGAGTCTGCTTTTCCAGGGAAATAGGGAAGTAGGGTACAGAACTGTTGAGTAAGTTGGGCAGTGCCCTGGGTGCACTGAAGGACATAGCTGAGTTGTTGTGCACCTTCTTTTTAACTTTCCATCAGAAAAAAAAAAAAAAAAAAAAAAAAAAGTTGTTAATGCTGAGATGGATTATTTAGCGGTTTCAGAATTAGGATTTTTTAGGATTTTTAAAGTATTATTCTTTCCCCCCTTGTATAGATAGAGTACCTGGGAGCCACGGTGAGTCTGGCGGTGGAACATGGCTCTTATAGGGAGCGACTGAGGCAGCTGGGTTGGGTCAGTCTGGTGAAAAGGAGACCCAGGGAAGACCTCAACACTCCCTATAACTCCCCAACAGGAGGTGGTGGTGAGGTGGGGGTCAGCCTCTTCTTCCAGATAACAGTGATAGGACAAGAGGTGACGGCCTCAAGTCATGCCAGGGGAGGGTCGGATTGGATATGGGGAAAAAATTCTTCTCAGAAAGTCTGGTGATGCACTGGCACGGCTGCCCATGGAATGGTAGAGTCTCTGGAGGCGTTCCAGAGCCATGGAGAAGTGGCACTGAGGACATGGGCAGTGAGCACGGTGGGGATGGGTTGGAGTTGGGTTTGGGGATCTCAGCGGTCTTTTCCAACCTGAATGATTCTGTGATTCTGTGCTGCCTGCACTGAAACCAGGAGCCAGTGCTCCATCCAGAGCATCCACTGTGTGTCTGGGGTTGTGGGCTCCCTGCTGAGGGCCCTGCAGGCAGGACATAGTGCTGTCTCCTTGGGGGTACCTGGAAGCCAGCCTGGAAACTACAGGAGAGCAGCGTTCCCTTTTTTCCCTGAGTGCTTGGCAATAGTCCTGGAACACTTTGATTTCAACAGATCTGTGTTATTTTGTTCTGGATTGTAATCAAAACCTTTTTTTTTTAATGGAGAAAGTGCCAACCAGTCCTGATTGCTATTTTCAGCCCTTGCTACAAATCTCTGCCTATTTGTTCATGTGTGAACGTATCTCCCAACCTCTGCACAGTGCCAAGCGCAGTAGGCAGCATCACAACAAAAAGACTTGAAAATGGGAATGTTGATGCTTATTTCTCTGAGCTGCTGCAAGGCTTTGTTAATCATTTCACAGTGCTTTGAGGCATAGGGCTTGTGTGGTTTCTATCTCAGCAAAGTGTATATCAAACACTGACAGTGCTAGCGTCATTCATATTTATATTCAGTAATGATTCAGGCACTTGACAAATCATGTCCAAATTACATGTTCTATAGCTTTAATTTCCTGTTGTTAACAAGGGAATGATTTGCAATTTCATGTTTGTCCTCCTCTACGCAGCCTGCAAGCATTGCTCAGTTTCTGTGTTGAGTATCACAAGCAAAACTGCTTTCTTTTTGTATTGTCTGTTTTCCAAATCTTGTGTCTTTTAACGTATCTCTCTAAAAAAAAATATTGCAGTGAATCTTCCTGTTTTTATGTGCATGTACACTACTATAGGACTTGAAGCAGATAAACCTCTGGGAGATTCAATTAGGACTAAAATAGAGCGAGTATGTATTTATGATGGTAGCATCATGGGACTAGCTTGTGATGGCTGAGAACTATGTTGCATTATTGTTTTCCCCCAAACCTCCCAGTAATCTATAGCCAGAAAACATTTTGTTAGCATTGCTTACATCAAATGTTCAAATTCTGGCTCTGCTTTTCTCATTTGTGCTTTTTCTCCTCCTGCATCTTCCTTTTGCCTGAGATGAGACTGCTTTTTTCCTGTACTAGCATTATTTCATTCTGAAGAAACATGACATAGGTGCAGCATGGAGGAGAGGAAGTCAAATAGGAAGCTCTGGTCCTTTCATACATGAGCAATGGGCAGAATGAATTCAAGTATACCTTACAAAGATCCAAAAGCAGTGTGGGACATTCTCCCAGTTACACAAACTGAACACGATGCTTGTCCTGTATGCATGCTCAGGAGGCTGTGTGAACAGGAGCAGTAAGATATGTTGTTATTAAACCTTCTTCCCTTACCACCTCCAAACAGCTTGTCAAGGGGCTGCAGCAGGAGCTGAACCGCCTGTACACGCTGTTCTGCTCTCGGAATCCAGAGTTTGAGGAGAAAGGAGGGAAAGTCTCCATTGTGTCCCACTCTCTGGGCTGTGTCATCACCTACGACATCATGACTGGCTGGAACCCGGTCAGCCTGTATGAACAGTTGCTGCGGAAAGAGGAGGAGGAGCTTGAAGACAGTTGGATGAGTTATGAGGAGCAACGTTTACTTGAAGAACTTTACATAACCAAACAACGGTAATGCATCCACTTCTGGTTATGAAAGGATAAAACCACAGCCCTACATGACGCCCTTTGGGTATTTCCAGAACCCAGCATAGCTCTTATAGTTTGCAGCTGATGTTCCTCTGATGATGCTGAATGGCAGTGGTAAATGCTAAATGCAGAACTAAGCAGGCAGGGAGCTGGCAGTGCTAATAAGAGCTCTGAATTCATATTCTACAGTCTATACCAAACTCAAACAAGTAGCTGCTACTCACTGCCCAGATGCACTGGGAGCTCCTTCTAGCCGAGAAGAAAGGACAGGGTCAGGCCATGAGCCCCACAGATATTTGATGTAGCTCACAGGTGTGCAGTGAGCTGAAACACGCAGAACCTGAGCAGTGAAATGCCAGAGTTTCTTGAGAAAAATGAGAAGTGTTCTCTAAGACTTGAACTTGGGAATTGAGCTCCACCAGCTGGGTGCAGATGTTGTGGTTGCTGTGATTGGGCTTAGGGGATTACTGCTGTGCTGCAGATCATTTACCAGTTTCTGCCTGCTGCCATTTAGAAATGTTAATGCAGTTCCTAGTGCAAAGCAGCACTGCCCATTGTGATGGATTGGATCTTGGTTTTGTTTCTTGCATGTGTTGGTAAGGATTCTCAGTATGAGGTGACAGTGTAGATAATCACTCTGCCCCCACACAGTGATTAAGGTGCTTTTCCTGTTCTAACCTGGGATTCAGGGTACTGTGAGACTCTATGGACAGAGAATCTAATAGTGGGAGCATGAACTTTCCAGTGGTGCTTTGGAAATGTTAGTATTGCGTCAGATCCGCTGTGCCTGAAATCAGCATGTGTGTAATTAGGGATTGGTACAGGACATCTCTAACAGCTGCAGGGCTGGATAAAGTCTGGTCTTTCTGAAAGTAGAGAAGTAAGAGACCCAAGAATCATGCCCAGGGGTAAGGTGACCCTACGGGCATATTACAAGCATGTGACCAATGAAAATCACAGTTTTTATATCCACGCTCCAGCTCCTTAGGTATGCACTGAAGCATTTCACGTTTCTTCCCCAGTAATCTGAGTACCATTTGACACAGGCACTTCTGTGATAGATAGAGTGGCTCCCCTGTTCACAGACCATCATAGTGTCATTCAGTCTGGAATGGTAAAGGATGTCAGTTTTACATTTCTGTCCTCTGGATTTCTGGTGTTGCAAGGCTCTCAAACATGTAGTGGATTTCTGGAAATACATATGCCTGAGTAAGGTGTTTGACAGCATGCATAAATATACTACGTTGTAGAACGTGAGCATGTAAATTTTATTGATTGGAACCCTTCAAGAACAGCTTACAAGAGTCAAGAATTCTGCATGCCTTCTTTTTTAAGAGCAAATCACATTCATTGAAGCATGCTAACTGGTTGAGAGGACTACTCTTCAGAAAGCTTTAGCTCCAGACTAGTATCTTTCTAATCAGGATGACAGAGGTTAACTTTCATATTTTTGCTTGCAGAGTGCTTTAGGAGAACTTGAAGAGGTGCTTTTTCCTGCTTTGAGGAGGGCATAATGCTTAGTGCTGGGTTAGATGTTGTTCATCCTACAGACTGCTGAAAGATAAATGACCTTTTTTAGAGAGAGCTGAAAATGTGACACCTTGTCCTTCAGATATTCCACGACAGTGCAGAACTCCATAATGGGCCATGGATTTTCCCATAGCTCTGGCTGAACAAAACAAAGTAAAACCAGGTGATGTGGCTGCAGAAACACCAAGGAGGCAGGAGGTGAATCACCTGCTCCTGAGCAGGGAGGATGGGCAGATGCTTGGGGTGATGAGCAAAGAAACTGTCATGTCGTGATTGATTCCTCCTGTGGTCAGAGAAACAGGATTTCACATGCATTGATTCTTAATCAACTGGACTGCCTCAGAGGAAGAAACAATGCAGTCATTCTCTCTGCCTAACAGACAAACTGTTGGACCCTCCATGAATGCCTGCTTGGATCAGGTGCCTTAATACATCTGCATTTTTCTGTCTCAGAAAGATCTCCTTATTTTCCAGGTTGAAAGAGATAGAAGAGAGGTTACAAGGCTTAAAGGCATCCACCATAGCAAAAACACCTGTCTTAAAATTTAAGGTACGTATATCTAGATTTTCACTGAATGTCCTAATCACACTAAAAACACACTTGCAGTTTGAGTTATTCTACTTTCTTTTTTTTTTTTTTCCATGTCACTAAATATTGGTAAAATAGCATGAATGTGTGTGGATGTACATAAACATACTACTACATTCATGTACTACTATTTATTACAGATATATACGTTTCTATGTAAATACATAATCCAGTGTATGAATAGCTATCACACTGCACACACGTGTGGGAAGGTAAAAACCTTTTGACAAATTGCACCAATCACATACCTTGAAAAACTGTACTTCTATTTTGTCAACTGATCCATCTCCCTTGGGGGCTGCTTCTAACACATCACACCTCTGAGGCAATCGCAGTGAATTTCCTCCAGCAGTGGATTTTCCTTCGAAATTGTTCTGGCCTGACAGGTAGGACAGGTTATTTCTAGACTTGTGAAATAGACTGCTTGCTAATTGGCTCTGTAAACTGCTAGAATTTCGTATCATTGGAAAAAGACATTTTCTAGCTTTGTGGTGGGATGTGCGACGCTTTCTAGTTGCTCTGCTATATCCTAAAATATTAAACACTAAAAATGTGACATGGTAGATAAGAAGAAAATAGATTATTGCTCTTAACTTGCCATTTGTCTTTCCTTCTGAATTCAGAAGCACTCCCAGAAGTCAAGGTCAGTCTTGAGGAAACTAACTGTAATTCAATTTGTCATAGGCTCCTTCTTTTATCACAGCTTAAAAATGCACGTCGTGCTATTATCTCTACCATCAAAGAAGCTGAAGTCAGACATGCTCCTCTTGCTCTGTGCAAAGATTATTCTTCACTCAGCTGTGTTTAAAGATTTCTTTGAACAGATGCTTTTTAGAGGGAGCAGGAGGGGAGGAGAAAAGAAAGCAGAGAGAAGAGAGAACTATATCCAAATTACTCTTAGGTAATTTCCCATTGATGTGCATCCTTTTTCTTACCCTTACTGAAAAAATAAAAAGACATTTTGTTTTTTTTATATCAGTACTCCTAGTGTAAAGCAAAGCTAATGACTCCTCCTGCTCGAGTACTGTGCATGGGACAGACCTCAGGGGGAAGAAAGGAAACCTCAAGGGAAAGAGGAAGGCTTCCCATGAATGTGATAGCAAGGTGCTTCTGCCAGGGGAGGATTTCTGCAGGCTATCACTGAGCGATGATTGCTCATCAACAAGCTTCCTGAGGATGACGAGCTTGTTGAAAGAGAAGTAACTGCTTTGTAGGCATTGACTACCAAGCACCTCGGCTCTTGGCAGACAGAGCTGTAGTAGGATCTTGAGTTGTTATTCACTGCAGGTGCTTGATCCACAAATTACTTTGGGCTGTGCAGTGCAGGAGAGTCTTTGATCCCTGATCTCTTAGGCTGTCATACACAACCAAGTGGCTACATGCAGTTGTAATGAAAAGGACTTGCCAGAATATGAACGTGTGGGGAATGGTGTAATACCTGCTTCTGCTTAATGTTAAAATTAATCCATTAGGTCTTCTGTTCGTGAATCATAACCAGGAGAAGTGTTGTCCCGAAAAGTGGTGTTCTTAAAAATTGCTTCTGTGTTAAACATTTACAGGAGCCTCAGTCCTGCTTCGTGCAGGAACACCAAAATTGATAGATGCCACTTTGCTACAGTGCTAAGCATCTAATGACTGCAATATAAAGGGCTTTATTTTTGGAAGGCTTGCTTTTGATTTTTAGCATTGGTATTGATTTATTGCCACCCTTTAAAGTACCCTCCAATCGGTACTTTGTCTTTGTGACTTTACCAGAGGTGGAAGATCATGTTGAAAACTTGTGCATGGAAGAAAATAATACAGCAAAGAACGCTGTGCTCCAAGAAAAAGCATCTGTCTGTGAACACTGTTAATGTTTATTGATAGAAACGTGCACCTTGTGACCATTTAAATTATTTACCTTTTTAAGGATCTTTGCATGAGGAGAATTCTGGGAAGTATTATAGTGCTAGCAAATGTCAGCTGGCAATCGCTTTCTGATTTCTTTCTGAAGCAGAAAGACCACATCTGTGTACTGCAAATGCTGTATATGGGCACGTCAGATGGATGGGGTTAGAAGTTATGTACTCACTTCAAAGGATAACTCAGTGAATATCTGTTTCTATTGTATTTGAAGATGAGAAAGCTTTTTGTCCAAACTGCAGAAATGTAAGGGTCTCTGTGAAGATTAATTGACAGAAGAGCTGCTTTGAACCAGACTGGAGTAACACTGCAGATGACAGTGAGCTGTGCTTTGCAGTGTATGACATTGAATAGCCTTGCTGAAGACCTAGAGCTTTTTTCCATTGAACTGGAACTTGGACATTCTTTTGGAAGGAAGAGGTGGAGTACCAGTGCCAAGTAAGAGGAGGAAGAATGTTTTGTTCAATGCTGGAATCTGGTAGATGAAACAGACCATTATTTCCACACCCTCGCTCCGTGTGCTGACATAAAGCAAAGGCGTGTGGGAATCCAAGCATTCTCCACGTGCACCCAGCAAGAATAAAGTCATTCCTCTCACCAGTTGAGTAGCAGCACGCTGATTGCTCCTCAGCAAACTGCTGCTACTACTGGGAAAGCTACAGTGAAGCTGTTACAATGACCAAATTAATTTTTCATAAAAGAAAACATTTTAAAGTTTAAGAAGTAATTTTGACTTTGAAAAATAATTTTTGACTACAGAGTTTTTATATCTGATATTCCTAGGAGACAGTGTCTGAGGATTGGTAATGGGATACAGAGGCATTCACCTCTTGGTCACTGTTGAATCCTGGCCCACGTTGGCGGTGACCAGAAGTCATTAGCACTGATGTGTGCTCAGTGATGGATGTCAGATGGCCTTGTGGCTGCAGTGCAGGTTTGCTCTGCCTGCCTGGCAGTGCTGAGGACAACCCTTGCAGAGCAAGTCACAGCAGCTTTGCACAGCGTGAGAGTGAGCTGCAAGGTAGCTCATTGTGCTGTGCTCAGGTGTGGTTCTGTGTGATGTGTGACACTTCTGACGAGCACCATTCTGTTCACTTAACACCAGGTATTTGTAAGAGATTGTACGTAACAGCAGCTTTGTGTGTGTGTGTGTGTGACTACCAGAAGGGTTTTCTGTAGGTCATCTTCAGTGCTCAGTGTAGCTTGCATTGATGGCTTCTGTAGCAAAGTGAGTCAAGGAATACTAGCTGAGGATAAGGTTATGGAGCTGTGGTGAACTTTGAAAAGTTGCATGAGAAGCAGACTTTAATGATGTGAAACACATCACATGTATTTCCTTAGTGTCTTCTAAGTTCTTGCATTACTCCTTCCAGTGCTGGTAGACTTCTTTCAGTTCAGATATCCAACACAGTTTTCCATTCTCAAAGCGTGCAGCATCACAACATGTAACTCTTCTCACAGCAAAAAAAAACAAAACAGGAAACTTAACTTGTTACGTTACACTGTGTCTATTACAGTGCTCTTCCCTGTTCCAATTCACCAATGCTATACAAGTCCCTTGGTTGAAACAGAGGGAAATCAAACCCAGCCATGTTAGAAAGCATTATTTTCACCTTCATTAACGCAGATGAAATCTCTCCTTAGGTTGAGAATTTCTTTTGTATGGGGTCTCCACTAGCAGTGTTTTTGGCATTGCGTGGCATCCGTCCAGGAAACAGCGGGAGCCAAGATCATATTCTGCCCAGAACGATTTGTAACCGCTTACTAAATATTTTTCACCCAACAGATCCAGTGGTGAGTTGTAATTGCAGCTGCAAGCTTTTACCCTTTTGTTTTTAAGTGTTGGCTGTGTGATAACGAGTTCTTCACAGTGTGTGAGTCGACACACGTGTGTTCACATGGCACCGGCTGTTAATGATTGCTGTGCCATATCTCGGGTTTTGTAAGAGCTGAGTAACATTTGCTACAAACAGTTGCCTTCAGTATCGTATACTTTGCTTCTCTTTTCAAATTAATGAGGGTAAAATTTAAATGTACTCAACTTGCTTTTTTGCAAAGACGTGAAATAACCCTTCAGTCGAGTTCCAACTTGGGTTTAGCTTACTGGCTTCCATTAAATGTCACAGACCCAAGTCTACCACTGCCATCATAAAAAGGCTTCACGAGCAGTTCACAAAATACTGTAGAAAAACAAAGACGCCATTGTTTTCCCCAGGGGAGTAACAGATTGTTAGAGGGTGGGATAGGCCTTGGGAAGGAAGTATTGGTGTAACTTTGCTGTCCTTACGCTCTTCCATAGGCAGCCAGTGTTAGCTGTCATCAAAGGCAGGATGTTGGGCCTCTGATCTGTAGGGCCTTGGCAGTCTCTTTGACAAGAGTCTGACTGGGCAGTTTCATGCTTTCCTATCCAGGCTCTGGATGGGAAGGGGTAGATAGTTTTCATCTTGCCCACTCAGTGTTTTCTTTCCTGAATTCCTCTTGCAGGCCTATAGATTAGAACCTTTAATCCTGAAGCACTACAGCAACATTTCACCAGTCCAGATCCACTGGTACAACACCACAAACCCTCTACCTTACGAACATATGAAGCCAAGTTTTCTCAACCCAACAAAAGAACCTACCTCAGTTACTGATGGCGAAAGTGCTTCGACTGTACCAAGCCCAACTACTTCACCAGTCATGGTTCGACGCCACTACGGGGAGTCCATAACCAACATAGGCAAAGCCAGTATACTGGGTAATTGCTCCTTGTACTGTTTTCTGCAGGGTCTTCTCACCGAGCATCACTGCTCTGTGGTGTTTAAGGTCCAACTGTCAGCAAGTCGTTCCTGCCTGTTTTCAGTGCTTGTTTTGCATTGCTTGTTCTAATCCAAACTAACATTTACTTTGAAGAAAAGACAGTTTACATAATACATTGAAGTCAAGGAAAGGATTTGTTGCAGGGAGAGGATGTGGGTCAGAGAGTTTATGCTACTGCCGCTTTATTGTTGTCTGCCTTCTTATGGTAACGTCCTGGGGGCTTCATAATTTCCACTGTACTTCATGGAGAAGTATTTTGAAGCTTGTTTTGTGTTTACATTCTGTGGTGTTGACAAATAGAAGAAAAAAAATCACTCCATATAGGTTAAGTGGAACCCAAACGTTATAATTTTACCGAGGGAAATACGGGCTAGTTCACTGTGAAGTCTGTCCCTTTCTGCCTTTCTGAATCAACTTTCTGAATCAGAGTAAGCCCTGATTTAGTAGAGCTTAAAATCACTTTCACTGGAACTTATATTTGAGCACGCACATGCAGTTTTTGTTGACTCAAGGACTGTCTTTAGCTCTCTGTGTGGGATCTGGAAGGTTAGTGTGACCTAGTGCAAGAAATCCTGCCAACCCAACAAATAGAGTGTATAAAAGCAGTTCAGTCCTTAAGTGAAATCATGCAGAGTTTCAAAGCAGCACTCTCACAGTACACTGCTTTTTGCTGTGTTACTACAGCAACTTCAGTGTCTCGTCCATACGGTGGCAGCAAAGGCAGGAGAAAACAGCTCAGATCTGTTCCTAGCTTTTGCACCTTTCTTCCTAAGCAACTGAAGTAGTCGTACTGAAGGATGATAGAGCATTTCTAAAGCTCTGTAGGGGTTATTCCATCGTGAGGACCACAAAGAAAAGAAGTCTCTTAAATATTCCCATGGGATCCTTTGGTTCAGAAGGTAGCATCATGGTTATGAAACATTTGTCTTAAACTTTCTGTAAAGGAGGAATTACAACACAGACTTAAAAATTCCAGATTCCTTTCTGCAAAAGCATTCTCATCTATTTTTTTGTTCCCCGTAACTACAGGTTCCAAATTACAGCCTTTGCTCGTCCGCTAGATTAGCATCACGATAAACAGTGCACACTTCAGTCAGATAAGCTGTTCCCACCCTAGAAAAGCATGAATAGTGTTTTCCATCACCCCGCTCTAATTGACGGGTACAGCAGCGGCTTTAATTTGCAGTTTGAATTGGCTGACCTCGTGCTTGTTTTCCTTTTGTTTGTTTGTTTTTGCTGAGCTCAGGAGCTGCGAGCATCGGGAAGGGCCTCGGAGGGATGCTGTTTTCGAGATTTGGTCGCTCGAGTACACAGACTGCAGAGCCAGGAAAAGATGGAGCGGAAGGGGACGACAAGAAGAGCGCTGTGGGAACGCCGCCTTTCTCACACAGCAGCTCGGGCTTCCTCGAACCCACGTGTCAGTGACTAGCCCACCTTACGTCCCTTGTGGGAACAACATCTCCAGTGGGCTGCGTGTGTGTCTTGTGGGAGTGCTGAGCAGGTTAAGGGAGGGGATCCTCGCCCCTGCTCAGTGCTGGTGAGGCCGCGCGTGGGGTGCTGGGCCCAGCTCCAGGCCCCCAGTAGTAAAGGAGAGGCCTGGCATGGTGGGGAGAGCCCAGCATAGGCCAGCGGGGTGCTGCAGGGCCTGAAACAGCTCTGCTGTGAGGAGAGGCCGAGAGCTGGGGCTGCTCAGCCTGGAGCTGAGGATACTCAGAAACCCCATCCGTGTCCATTGATACCTGAGGGGAGGTATGGAGAGGACAGAGCCAGGCTCTGTGCGGTGGTGCCCGGTGCCAGGACAAGAGGCAGTGGGCAAAACTGGAGCACGGGACGTTCCCTCTGGCCATCACTCTATGCTGTGCGGGTGGCAGAGCACTGGAACAAGCTGCTCAGAGAGGCTGTGGGGTCTCCTCTTTGGAGATCTCCAAAAACCAGCCATGCACAGTGCTGGGCTCCAGCTCTGGGTACCCCTGCTTGAGCAGGGCATTGGACCACATCAGCTCTAGAGGTCCCTTCCAGCCTCAGCCATTCTGTGATTCTTTGAAGGCTGTACAATTACTGACTTTGTTCTCCCTGTTATCTTTTTTTTTTTTTTTTGGTCCTCTTAAAAAACATTTATCTGTGCATTTGTGCCTGTCACATATACTCACGCACATGTATGTGTGTATGAGTTTAAGCTAACGAGACCTGTCCATCCGTAGTTCCTAGACTGTCTCTAGGGAAAGCAAAATGATTGCTTCAAGAATTTCAGCCTCTGTAATGAAATGGATTTATGTAAATTTGTCCATACATTTGCAGTTCTGAAGCAGTCTCTATTTAAATGCAGGTATGGCTGGAAACAGAGGCTGTCCTTGTCCTGCTCTGAACTGCCCAGAGCACAGAGTGCAATTTTAGCAGCTGGGTTTTTTTAAAAAGTACATATGCTTCCTTTACAGACATTCATACTTTATTTTTAAACTTCTCATTGCAAGGCGGGGCTTTTGCAATCTAAGCAGTCACAAGTGTTAGCACTGTTGTATCTTGTGATTGCATTCACATGATGCATTGCAGTCTGTTGATTGCTGCCACTTCCAGCAGATAACCTGCCTGAGTCACTGCTGCGGACAGAGAATTGGTTTTAAACTTCAGGGAAATGGAGTGGTGTGACAGCCAGTATTGTGGAGATCTTGACGAGGTCCCTTTGCATGGTGGCACGTTGAGGTCTCCTGCACAATTCTCACATTCCTCTGTGCTGAGATTCCATCTGCAGCACTGTGTCCAGGTCTGGAGCCCCCAATACAAGAAAGACAGGGAGCTGTTGGAGAGGGTCCAGAGGAGCCAC